GAGCTCTAACATAGCATGTTCCAGTCTGTTAGAGCTCCCTGGGAGCTCTAACATGGTATGTTAGAGCCCCGTGGGGGCTCTAACATGGCTTGTTAGAGCCACAGCGGAGCTCTAACATAGCATGTTCGAGTATGTTAGAGCTCCCTGGGAGCTCTAACATGCAATAATACAGCTCCCATGTCAGAGCTCCCTGGGAGCTCTAAAATACCGAGCTCCAACGGAGCTTTAACATAGCATGTCAGGGCTCAGCGGGAGCTCCCTGGGAGCTCTAACATGGTAAGTTAGAGCTCCAACGGAGCTCTAACATAACATGTTCGAGTATGTTACAGCTCCCTGGGAGCTCTAACATGGTATGTTAGAGCTCCGTGGGAGCTCTAACATGGCATGTTAGAGCTCCAACGGAGCTCTAGCATAGCATGTTCCAGTATGTTAGAGCTCCCTGGGAGCTCTAACATGGTATGTTAGAGCCCCGTGGGAGCTCTAACATGGTTTTTTAGAGCTCCAGCGCAGCTCTCACATAGCAAGTTATATTATGTAGAAGCTCCGTGGGGGCTCGAACATGCTATATTAGAGCTCCCATGTTAGAGCTCCCTCCCTGGGAGCTCTCAAATACCGAGCCCAAACGGAGCTTTAACCTAGCATGTTAGGGCTCAGTGGGAGCTCCCTGGGAGCTCGAACATAGCATGTTCCAGTATGTTAGAGCCCCCATGGGAGCTCTAACATGGTATGTTAGAGCTCCGTGGGGGCTCTAACATGGCCTGTTAGAGCTCCAACGGAGCTCTAACATAGCATAATCGAGTATGTTAGAGCTCCTTGGGAGCTCAAACATGGTATGTTAGACCTCCCACGGAGCTCTAAGATGGTATGTTAGAGCTCCAACGGAGATCTAACATAGCATGATCCAGTATGTTAGAGCTCCCTGGGAGCTCTAACATGGCATGTTAGAGCTCCGCTGGAGCTCTAACATGGTATGTTAGAGCATCAACGGAGCTCTAACATACTAGGTTTCAGTATTTTAGGGTTCCATGGGAGCTCTGATATGGTTATGTTAGAGCCCCGAGGGAGTTCTAACAGGCCATGTTAAAACCCCACCCGGAGCTCTAACATAGCATGTTCGAGTATGTTTAGAGCTCCCTGGGAGCCCTAACCCACCGAGCTCCAACGGAGCTTTCACATAGCATGTTAGAGCTCAGTGGGAGCTCCCTGGGGGCTCTAACATAGCATGTTCCAGTATGTTAGAGCTCCAGCGGAGCTCGAACATAGCATGTTCGAGTATGTTAGAGCTCCCTGGGGACCCGAACATGGTATGTTAGAGCTCGAACGGAGCTCTAACATAGCATGTTCCAGTATGCTAGAGCTCCCCTGGAGCTCTAACATGGTATGTTAGAGCTCCGTGGGAGCTCTAACATGGCTTGTTAGAGCTCCAACGGAGCTCTAACATAGCATGTTCGAGTATGTTAGAGCTCCCCTGGGAGCTCTAACATGGCATGTGTAGAGCCCCCTGGATCTCTATGACAGGTACTTAGAGCTCCACACGAGCTCTTACCATAGCATGTTTCCATATGTTAGAGCTCCCTGGAGCTCTAACATGGCAATGTTAGAGCTCAGTGGGAGCTCGAACATGGCGTGTTAGAGCCCTCCGACGGAAGCTCTAACCATAGCATGTTCGAGTATGTTAAGAAAAAGCTCCCTGGGAGCTCTAACAATGGCATGTTAGAGCTCCGTGGGGAGCTCGAAAACATGGCGTGTTTAGAGCTTGCAACGGTAGCTCTAACCATAGCATGTTGCAGTATGATAGAGCCCTGGGAGCTCTAACATGGTATGTTAGAGCTCCGTGGGAGCTCAAACATGGCTTTTTAGAGCTCCCTGGGAGCTCTAACATGCTATATTACAGCCCCTATGTTAGAGCTCCCCGGGAGCTCTAAAATACCGAGCTCCAACGGAGCTTTAACATAGCATGTTAGAGCTCAGTGGGAGCTCCCTGGGAGCTCTAACATGGTATGTTAGAGCTCCAACGGAGCTCTAACATAGCATGTTCGAATATGTTAAGAGCCCCTGGGAGCTCTAACATGCTATGTTAGAGCTCCCAGGGAGCTCTAACATGGCTTCTTAGAGCTCCAACGGAGCTCTAACATAGCATGTTCCAGTATGTTAGAGCTCCCTGGGAGCTCTAACATGGCATGTTAGAGCTCCGTGGGAGCTCTACTAACATGGCATGTTAGAGCCCCCGGCCTACTCGTCGGAAGCGGCCCCCTCGACTGGCTGGGGTTAGGGCTGCTTTAGGTTGATGGTTTTGATGTTTGTTTTGATGTGAGTATGGTCTTTCCTGTTGTTTGATGTTTTTTTGTTGTGATCATTATGACGATGTCATGTATTTCTGATTGTGATGATGACGATGTTTATGACGATGATAATGATAGTTCCAAATGGCGACTATCCGATCGTATAAATACAATCAACATCATCTCCATCACCATCATCACCATCATCCATCACCATCATCCCCACCATCATCACCATCATCATCATCACGACGACGACGACGACGACGACGACGACGATGGCGGGGGGACGGCATGCGGACGCGCCCAATGGGACGACGACGACGACGACGACGACGACGGCGGGCGGGACGGCTCGATGGGAGTTCTAGCATGTTATGTTAGAGGTCCCATCGAGTATGGGAGGCAACTCTAACATGCTGCTAACATAGCACGTTAGAGTATGTTGGAGCTCCTTGGGAGTTCTAACATCGTATGTTAGAACTCCGTGGGACCTCTAACATGTCATGTTATTCATATAAATAGCTCCCTGGGAGCTGAACCATGTGATGCCAGGGAACTCCCTGGCACCTCTAACCATGCATGATAGACCTCCCAGGGAGCCCTAACATTGCATGTTAGAGCTCCAACGGAGCTCTAATAACATAGCACGTTCGATTCTATTAGAGCTCCCTCCTGGAAGCTCTAACATGGCATGTTAGAGCTCCAGTGGAGCTCTAACATACATAGCATGTTAGATTATGGTAGAGCCCCAATGGAGCTCTAACTTCGTATGTTAGAGCTCCGTGGGAGCTCTACCATGATATATTAGAACTCCGTGGACGCACGAAGTCAGCGCCTGAAATCAATATAGCAACACCTGCTCCCAAAGCGAAGTAGTCGAGGATCGAGCTCGAGGTGGGGCTCCGACAGGTGGGCGCTGTGGGGGCCATAAGGAGCATACTCAATTTGCGAACAAATCCAGAGCATTCCAAAACTTCAGAAGCCATAGATATTCCAGCCCCCTGCGCCGCGTCAGCGCGGCGAAAAAAAGAGCCAGCACGCGAGCCACGCTGCGCGCCTCCGACATCGGCTACCAGACGCCGATGCGAGGTCACTTGTCCTGCTGCTGAGCTCACTGGTGCTGCTGTTTGTCCTTCTGCTTGAGCTCCTCCACTTTCCAATGGAGCTCCTCGACTTTCTTCTGCAGGTTGTCCTGTGCCCGGTGGAGATTCACAAGCGTCTGCCCCTGTGCCCGCAGGAGAGCCAGAATATCATCCGTCTTCTCGTCCTTGTTGCTCTGTGCGTTGGTCAAGAAATTGAGCATCGTGGTGATAACGGTGGTTCGCCCGTCCTGCTGCTGCCACTGCTGTGCTCGCCATGTATCAGCTCCTGCCGTTGCAACTCCTGGTGACGCAGCTCTTGAGCTGTTCCAGCTTTTCCAGTGGAGAGCTCCCGCAGCTGTTCCAGCTTCTTGCTGATGGCCTTCACTTTGCCATTGCTCTCCTCTGCCCTCTCTGGCCTTGTTGTTGACCTTGGCCTTCCTCGTCGACCTCGAGTCCTCCGCTTCATCGTCTTCCCGCTTCTTCTGGACGTAGCTCGGGTGGAGCTCCACAATGTCCATGATGTTAGAGCACCATGCGGTCTTGTCCTCATCAGAACCCTGTGGACAAGCCTCATGGAACCAGAGATACTTATTCTTTACATTATTGATGTGGTCCTGCGAAATCTGGTGCGTCGGGGCTGCCCATTTGTCGCACGGTTTACAATGCCACCAGGGCTCATTAGGTTCTCCACTCGTCTTCGAACCGTATTCCTTAACTGGTAGCCATGGCGCATCAATGGGTCCAGTGTCAGGGTCCATGATGATGGCTTCTGGACATGGGCCAGGATGCCCCCCCTGCGCGGGCCCCCATGTCTGACATGGCAGACTGTAGGCGCTGCAAGAAATGCCTTGAACCGAGGTGCTTGCGCGAAAGGAAAGTTGGGTGTGCTCTACTACTGCAGCGGCTGTTGCAGCGGCTGTTGCAGCGGCTGTTGCAGCGGCTGTTGCAGCGGCTGTTGCAGCGGCTGTTGCAGCGGCTGTTGCAACGGCTGTTGCAACGGCTGTTGCAGCGGCTGTTGCAGCGGCTGTTGCGGCGGCTGTTGCAGTGGCTTTTGCAGCGGCTGTTGCAGCGGCTGTTGCAGCGGCTGTTGCAGCGGCTGTTGCAGCGGCTGTTGCAGCGGCTGTTGCAGCGGCTGTTGCAGCGGCTGTTGCAGCGGCTGTTGCAGCGGCTGTTGCAGCGGCTGTTGCAGCGGCTGTTGCAGCGGCTGTTGCAGCGGCTGTTGCGGCTGTTGCAGCGGCTGTTGCAGCGGCTGTTGCAGCGGCTGTTGCAGCGGCTGTTGCAGCGGCTGTTGCAGCGGCTGCAGCGGCTGCAGCGGCTGCAGCGGCTGTTGCAGCGGCTGTTGCAGCGGCTGTTGCAGCGGCTGTTGCAGCGGCTGTTGCAGCGGCTGTTGCAGCGGCTGTTGCAGCGGCTGTTGCAGCGGCTGTTGCAGCGGCTGTTGCAGCGGCTGTTGCAGCGGCTGTTGCAGCGTACTGGCGATTCTGTCACTTCTGCATCGCAGCCTCAGTCGTCCCCACCACGTACCACGTCTGGGTAGTGGCCACTGCACGCACAAGACAGCGGAGCTGGGCAGCTTCGCAAATGGCGCTCATAATGTCCTACAGACATATAGGAAGCTGCATGCGCAGTGCCTGACCGCAAGCCCCTGCTGCGACGCGACCTTGTTGTCAGCACGGGGGAAGTGCGCGATCACATGCTTCTCAACCTCTCCGCATTGTTTGTCGGGGAAGGACGCGACCACTTGCATCTCATCGTAGCTGAGCTTGTGCCCGCGCATGAAGCTTCGGTCGTTTCCTCGCCACCCCCATCCTCCATTCCATCGCCATGAAGGGTCGCTCGTCGTGCCGATGTAGACGGAGAGCCCAGAGGCGATGGCACGATCGTGGAGGTGCCGCACGCGCTTCATCACTAGACCAACGTCGATGTCGACGAGGGGCTGGTGTACAAACATCGATTGCATGTCGCGACAATCACTAGGCACCTGTCGAGCGTCCTCCCGGGCGCCCTCCCGCATCATCTTAAGCCGCGTCTCTCGGCTGCGCGAGCGCATGCGACGCCTGGCAGGCGCTGTCACTCTGTTGCCGTTGTCGTCGAAACAGGCGACCTTCGCGAACTGAAATGCGCTGCCGCCATCGACCCCTGCAAAGGCCCTCGGGCTCCGAACTCCAGAGCCCTTGTCGCCACCGTCGCCGCATCCTGCTCGGCCCTCGACAGCGTCGGTAGGCGGCCCCCCGCGTGAAAGGTCGAGCCCCAGGCGATCTGTGATGAACGAAAATATGCCGTTGTTCCCATTGCCCATGCCATCGGCGCTGATGGTGTCATTGGCCATGACCGTGACCTTCACGTTCACGCCGCAAGGCCCTCGAGCTGCTCCGCCGTCTCCGACGCTCCCTGGAGGAAGCGACGATGCTGATGCTGGATGCACCTGTGCTGGAGAGGGCGATGCTGTCTGGATCTCGCAGGCCCTGATCTCTGGAGGCGATGCCGACGGCTCTTGCAAGCCCTTATGTCTGGAGGAAGCGATGCTGTCTGGATCTCGCGCTGCTCTGTGGGCGCCGCCAGCGGCGCCCACGCCCGCTGCAAAACCTCCCTGGTTGGCTTGCTGCGGACTCGCAGCGGCGGCGGCCACGGTCCGAACGTCCACGGCAACTCTGGCTTCAACATAGAGCGTCGCACCTTCAGTGGCCTCGTCATCCGAGCCGCCAAACATGTCTCGCAGAAGGCAGGCAGACACCGACTGCGAGTCCGCGCTGGGAGACCCCTGGGATGAGGTGCTGAATAAAGGATCCCCCATGGCTCTTGCCCCAGCCATGGGGAACTAGCTTGGGCCAATATGCCAAGATGATGTAAGGATGCGAATCCTGTCGCGGATCTGCTGGGGTGCTCGGGGCTCTGCGGGGTCCTGGGCGTGGTGCCCTAGGGCCCTAGGGCCCTCTCTGGTGGCCTCTTCCTCCTCGCTTGCTGCGCCCAGCTGGTGGCGACCAGGGAGGCACTGGGCACCAGACAGCCGAAGGCTAGAGGCTAGATCAATTCGAACCAGGCAGCCCAAGCATCCAAGCGCCTAGCGCCTAGCGGCCTGGAGGGTGAGACAATCTGCATAATAAGGAATGCAGTTGATCTGAATATGTGCGTCTTTCTCCTCATCTCTGAGCTCAGGGATGCATGGGAGCGCCTGCGCTCGCTGTTCCAGCCATGCGCAGCACATGCGCAGAGTCCTATCGTGGGCCCATTCCCACTCGCGCCAGTAGCAAATGCTCTCGCGGGCACCTTAGCTCAGAGCGTGATGCGCTCCACCCCCCTCCTCCCACCTGGACTCCTCCTCCTGCTCCTCCTCCTAGCCTCGTCCTCCTCGTCATCGCCATCCTGGTTCCCCCACGCGGGCCTGCGGGGGCGCCGCGGCCGCCCGCGGCAGCGCCGGCCGCCACCAGGGACCGGGGGGGCGGGGAGGCGCAGGAGCTGTTGCAGCGGAGGCGCAGCAGACGGCGAGAGGAGACGAGTCGGAGAAGCTCGCCGTTTTGTCAGACGTAGGGTATCTGACAGACAGACAGTCACCACCCGACGCGACTGGAAGCACTTCGCCGACTGGGTCAGGCGCTCGAGAACTTGCGGTGTTCAGTCATGCTAGCCGCCCACAACCCCACTCGAAATGTGCGCGGCTGTTGCAGCGGAGCGCTGGCCACAAAGACTCTGCCGATTCCGCGCAACCGTCCCCATCCCAGCCCCTTCCCATTCCCCGCACCACTGCCATCCCCCTGAGTAAGTCAACCGGCAACCTGAGGCCAGCGAGCTGGAAGCCAGGGTCCCTGAACGAGTGGCACGCTCCTAAGATGAGACGCACGAGAGGACAATACCACACACAATACATGTACTTCGTGTTGATGTGTGCTAATCATATACAAACACACACACACCTCAGTCGTGCAGCCAAGCCGGCTCAGCATCAAGGAAAACCGCAAGACAAACCCAGTCCGCACAGCGTCAAAGCGCATGCGGGCGGCCGCACAGGCGTGCCACTGTTACAGTATAAGGCAAAGGTCAGGCCACCCGCGCCGAAGGGTATCTGACAGACAGTCACCACCCGACGCGACTGGAAGCACTTCGCCGACTGGGTCAGGCGCTCGAGAACTTGCGGTGTTCAGCAGTCATGCTAGCCGCCCACGACCCCACTCGAAATGTGTGCGAGGGTGCCGCGTACTCGAATTGTGTGCGTATCTGTTGCATAGCGGAAGGCAGGGCTCATCTGAGAGGCGCATCTGTGCAGGTCGGCCAAAACTGGCGCTGACAGAAGCAATGCCTAAACCAGAACTGGCGTGTCGCAGTCGACTGTTGCAGTCTACCAGAAGCGCGCTCGGAGAGGCCCCGCGATTTACTGCGACAGTCTGTGCAAGCTGTCAGCTGCTCCCAGACGCGGGCTGCTCCCACCGAGGCTCACAGAGTTGCATTGCCTCGCCAGGGTTCGTGTAATAAATAAGCGCGACTCTGTCGTACAGCGTTTTTGGGTGCGGGCGACTGTAGTAGTTGCCATGGTACTGCACCTGCACGTCCACGAGGATCCCGAAGATGTGCTCCCTGAAACAATAGCCATGTATGTTCTGCCTGATGTTGCCGATCCAGTACTTGTACTCGCGCCTGTGGGAGTCCCAATCTGCCTTGACCACAATGTGCGCGTAGTATTGGTGCTGCGGTTGCACCAGGCAGAAGACGATGTCTCCTTTCTGCACGATGGACGCCTCCTTCACGACGCAGCCAGGGCCCGCTTCCGCTGTTACAGCTTGGATGGGGTGAAAGGTGCAGAAGTCGTGCGATCGCACCAGAGGCCACATGGAGTTTCCCGAGCTCGGGCACCACACGGGGAAGCCGGCTAGGAGGTACTCATGTATCATATTGTTCCTCTCTGCCCGCAGCTTTAATTCCAGCATCCAGTCCTCGACCAGCGTCCAGTCCTTGTGGAACACGGGAATGGCCTCGTGCGGGGACGACAAAACAAAGGGTGGAAGGCGCTTCGGCTTGCTCTGCTCGACGACTGCGGCCTCCTCGGGGGGCAACTTGGCGATGGACGTGTAACCTTTGGACTGCTCCGCCGTCTGACCGACCTTTGCACGCAGCGGGAAGGCTGACATGGCTCTTGCAGCTATGCGGGCATTCTTCGTCGTATGTTCCGCCTGCCGCGTAAGAAGTTTCCCGCGCTATATAGGCTCCTCGCTGCGCTTCATCATGGTGGCAGAAGAAGAAACCGTCGTCGCCCGTGCGGCTGACCCACGTGGGGCCTGGGATAAGAGCTGGCGCCGCTCAGCAGCCTCCATGTGTTCCTTGTGCGCTCCCTCTGGGTCGGGCTTGTAGTGGCCCGCCTCTTGCCGCAGCTGCGCTCTCGCCATCGGCGGCGGCGGCGGCGCGACCCTGCCCGATAAATCGATTGGCCGTGGCGGGCGGGAGGGCATCCGTTTCGGAAGAGGCTGGCCCTCCGCGGGCGCGTCACTGACCCTCTTCGCTGCCGCGTGCTTGGCCCACGGAGTCTTTTGTCTCCAATCATCCTCCTCCTGCCGAAGCGGAGATGCGAGAGGAGCACCCATCCCGCGCCGTGCCGTGACAGGAACATCCCGCGCCGTGCTGCGGGTGCGCTCTCTGCCTCTGCGGGTACGGTCACCAGCCTCTCGGGGGGAGTCGCTGTCGGAGATCACAATCGCGTGGTGCGGATCACCCGACTGCTCGGCCTGGGCCCGCCGCCCGCTTGATGACGCTGTTGCAGCCAACTGGCGCTGGCGCGGCGACGCCTCTCTCTGGCGACTCTGGGCGTTTGACAGGCGCCGCTGCCAAATATGCAGATCCCAGTGGTACCGTGCACAGTCTTCGATCCCAGTCGCCCGTGGCGGGTTCCGACGCTCCCAGTCGATCATAGGAGTGTTCCACCTGATCTCCTCGTCGCTCAACTGCCTATGTGCGGTCGCGTCCAGGCACCCGTAGGGTCTCTCCTGGCCCTCCCAGACTCCTGGACGGTCGAAGATCATCATGCCGTCATAGTCCAACTGCTGCTGCTTATGTTGGACCCAGCGCAGGCGGCGCTCATGATCCAACACCTCATCGTGTTCGCCCTCCTGACGCGCCAGCGTACCGCTCCCTCTGGCTCCGCAAGCCTTTGCGATGATTGAGCAAGTACTCCCAGCTGCCGACCTGAAGATGGGAGCTCTACTAACATCCCATGTTCGAGCTCCCACGCAGCTCCTACTAGCCAAAACTGGAGGAGCTGTAGTACAATTCGACGTCTAACTTGATATGTTACACCTCCCTGGGGTATCCCCAGGGAGGTGTAACATATCAAGTTAGACGTACGACTTGCTAACATGGCACTACTGGGAGCTCTAGCATGCCATGTTAGATCTCCATGGGAGCTCTAACATGGTATGTTAGAGCTAGAGCATGCCGCTGGGGCTCTAACATGGCATGGTAGAGCTCCCTGTGAGCTCTAACATCATGTAGCATGCCATGTTAGAGCTCCAGGTGAGCTCTAACATGGCATGTTAGAGCTCCAATGTAGCTCTAACATCCTCTAACCTGCCATGTTAGAGCCCCATGGGAGCTCTAACATGGCATGTTAGAGCTCCATGGGAGCTCTTATCAGACAGGGGGGGGGGGGGGGGTACTACAGCTAGCCCAGATTTGGCTGGTCTGACCTGGCGCCCTTTGCCCTTGCCCTTGCGCCCCATCTCTGGCATGGCAGCCTGCAGGCGCTGCAAGAAATGCCTTGAGCCGAGGTGCTTGCGCTACAGGAAAGCTGGGTGTGCTCTACTACTGCAGCGGCTGTCGCAGCGGCTGTTGCAGCGGCTGTTGCAGCGGCTGTTGCAGCGGCTGTTGCAGCGGCTGTTGCAGCGGCTGTTGCAGCGGCTGTTGCAGCGGCTGTTGCAGCGGCTGTTGCAGCGGCTGTTGCAGCGGCTGTTGCAGCGGCTGTTGCAGCGGCTGTTGCAGCGGCTGTTGCAGCGGCTGTTGCAGCGGCTGTTGCAGCGGCTGTTGCAGCGGCTGTTGCAGCGGATGTTGCAGCGGGGAAGACGGCCTCGTCGCTGCTCCTGCCTCGTCCTGCTCCCCCCTCCTCCTTCAGCCCCATCACCCCCCTCATCCCCCTCCTCCTGAGGGCGGCCCTGGGCGCCCGATGCTTCCCACCCCCGCCCTCCCACCCTCGCCGCCGACAACCGCCGCCACGGGCAACAGCAGCCCCCCCCCCCCCATCGGCGACCTTCAGGTCCCCAGCGGCGGGCAGCGCCGCCCGCGGCAGCGGCGCCCACTGAGGGGCGCAGGGGGGGAGGTAAGGTCGGACGACGTTGGGCGGCGCTCTTTTTCAACAAACTATGGCACGGCCATGGTGCCTGGGCACAGTGCTGCGACCGTCGCGTCGAAACGCAGCACCCAGTTCCTCGGGCTGTTGTAGAGCTGTTTAACAGCACTGTCAACACCCGCTTCTTCTCCCGAGCGGCACAGCACGCAAGTTCGCTGCGCCAGGCGGGGATTGGCCTGCCTCTTGAAGAACTTGCAGAGCTTCTTGGGGCTCTTGTAATAGATCACACACCCACTCGGCGTCTGTGCAAGCGCTCGTAAAACGCGGGGCAGCGTAGGCAGGTCTGCCGCGAGAGCCTCTGTTACAGCCACGTGGTAGCTCTTGCTCGAGTTCCGAAGCTTCTCCGTGTACTGGATGCCTTTTGGAGAATCCTCCCGTGCAAAGTCAGCCGGCGCTGTGAAAAAAACTCCCGTGAACGCTGCTACGATCTGGGCGGCGATGCAATAGTCGGTGTCAGCTGTTGGCGCCAAGACTACGTTCCCCTTCTTCTTCCCCTGGGCCGTATGACTGGCAAGATAGTCCAGGAACTCCACGGGGTCCTGAAACACCTTGAAACGCAAGCGCTGCGCCTTCTTGCGAGCGCCCTCATCTACCATGCGAGCCAGCATGAGCCCAGCGGGACGCGGGGGGGGGGCAGCAAGCAAGCGTCACGGCCCGCAGCTGGCCTGGCACTACTGCGCAGGACTTTCTTCTCTCGGGTACTCCTGGCCTTGGCGGCGGCCTTCGCCCCCCCAAGATTGCGCTCTCGGATCCTGGCCCCCCGCTTGGCGACGGCGGCGACGTTTTTTGCAGCGGGCCCGACTGGATCTGCGCCGCTCGCCTGGGCCGCCCCCTGAGCCAGCGCAGCGAGATCGGGGGCGCCCTCCGCGAGAAGGCGGGCGCGCTTGCTCGGGGAAGCGGCCACCATGGCGTCGACGGCAGCTGCTCGCCTGCGCCCGAAGCCTACCTCTGTCCGACGTGCTGTCCCAAGCTCCCGCGCGCTATCTTCCCCTGCGCGAACTCATGTAGCTTGAGCACATGGCTGCACCAACGACTGGCGGCAGAGCTGCTCCCGTCGTTGCCGTCCAGCCACGCGCGCAGCAACCTGCTGGAGGGCGCCTGGTCCACGAGCGTGCACTCCTCGACGGACACGTCGAGGAGCCGCGCCCTCTCGGGGCAATTCATCTCCGAGAAACGGCGGAATCGCCTCTCCAAGTTGCCCGTGCTCGTTTTCCATACAAGGAAGAGCTCCACGAGGCGACGGCCGCTGTGGAGCTCGGGCCACTCCACCGCAGCGCGGCCCCAAGCCTGCCGCGCGGCGCCCCCGTTTCGATGATGATGATCCTCGGCACGGGGCAACATTTGCCGCAGCTGGGAGATTGCCTTCTGCTCGGGGAGGTCTGCCGCCTGGCAGATGCGCTTCAAACAGGCCTCGGCTTCTGGTGCATGCTCTGCTGTTGCAGACAGGGACAGGGGGGAAGGCAAGCGAAAGGCTGTAAAGGCGTGCAACCAAGAATGCTCTGGCCGATATAGCTTCATTTTCTTCATCACATTGGCCACGATACCCTGCACTCGTCGAAGAGCCGCGTGGACGGCTACGCGGGCTCGGGGCCCCGTGCTCCGATCGCCGATACCAACGGTCTGGACGCCAGTGCCGCACATGAACCGCCTCGTGACCTTCAGAAACTTGAGGGTGACGCCAGTAAACGTGTCGGGGGTGGCCAGAATATTCCCCTTGACGAACAATGTATCCAGCTTGGAGAGGAAAGCGGCTGCCCTGGATGGAACGCTGGCAGCGTCGGGGTTGCTCTTGACTCCGGTCGCGACCCAGGAGTAGTGCTCCGCGCTCAAGCCGGCCAGCAACCCCCCCAGGAGCAGGCGCGAACTGTTCTCGCCTCCGAGCCCTTCCAGAATATGTCGGGCGAGAATGCGCCGATCTTTGTCATTCCCCTGGGACTCCGCTGCGAGCGCCTCGGAAATGGCTTCCCAACGCCGACTTTCCCGTGCATAGGGCCTCGCCCGACTGTTGAAACGCTGGGGGGCCCAGCCGAAAATTTTGACGAACGTAACGTCGTCTTCCACCAGCTGCTGCTTCCCGAATGTGTTGCGGAACACGGTGGAGGTAGTCAGGAACTTGGCCAGACTTGTCGGCTTCTTACCCGTTACCAGCAGCTCGTCCGTGGTCGTTATTTCGCTGTCTCCTTTCATCGAATTGGCCAGAACCTTCTGGGGCGAGTGTGACTCGTCCCACGCGTGAAACTTCAGCCCAGGGAACGTAGTTGTTGCAGCCATGGTGGGTACACTTAGATCCGCCCCATCGCTGCGCCATGCCCGAGTCTCCTGTCGCACATGCTTGTGCAAGTCCCCGTCCACCTCCCCGCCTGCCGCATGGCACGCGCGACGGACGCACTCCTCCAGCATGGAAGCCTTGCCGTCGCAGCCCATGTCCCGCGGGAACTCCCGCATCCCGATCACCCGATCCACGATCCAGGGCCCTCTGGGGCCCAGCTGTTCCAACCAGCTTGCCTGGAGACCGTAGCTTGGGAGGAAGTCCAAAGCCTTCGGGATCGACCACAGCGCGGTGCCAATTTCGACCTGGCGCGCGCGGTCGAGGCCGCCCGCAGCCAAACGAAAAACAGCACCATGTCTGAGGATCCTCTGCGTGATGATCTCCTCGTGCTGAGCCATGGTGGTCACCAACCTTCGGCACTGCCGACTAGACTCCAAAACTTGGCGGTCGCCCCCAACGAACGCACCCCGCCACACGTCGAAACTACTGAAGGAACTGCTTGTCTCCAACATTGCACGGGTGGCGACCACTGCGCGGCAACCAGGGCGCTGGTCGGCGTTGCGGACGACGGCGGGCGCAGGCGCCACGGCTGTTGCAGCTGCTGCAGCTGATGCAGCCGTTGTGGAGAACACAGACACGGGGAGACCCTGGTGCGCACCTTCCGCTCGAATCCGCTCTTTCCACGCCGCTTCTGCTGCCTGGTGCTCCTCGCACTGTGCATGGCGCACGAGGTTTTCCTTGCGTTGGAAACTCGCGGATCCCTGGCCTATGGTGGAAATGCAGCGAACGCCCTTGAACGCCGAGCAGGACAAGCAGACTGCAAATCTACCACCAACGCAGCCTATCCAAGTTTCACTCTTCAGTGTTACTGGATTCGTCGCAGACATCGAGGAGCTCCATTTCTCCTTGTTCTTCCAAAATCTGCAAGCGCCGCAGGTGGAGACGTGCTTTGGGTAGTCGTGGCTGGCGACGTGCTCCTCCAGGGTCATGGGCAACGAAGGCGGGAACTTCTCGACTACTTTGCTCGGGGCGGCCTTCGCCTTCGCTCTTGCAGCCGCGGCTGCCTCGCTGCTGGAGCCGCTGTCCTCTCCGGAGCCGCTGTCGGAGCCGCTGTTGGAGCCGCTGTCCTCTTCGGAGCCCGCTGCGTCGGCAGCGGCCACGGCAGTTGTTGCAGCTGCCACGGCCGATTCTGCGTCCGAGTTGTTGCAGCTGCCACGGCTTGGCGAAGCTGCCCTCGACGCGGCCGCAGGGCTCGGGCTCGGGCTCGGCGAAGCTGCTGCCCTCGAAGAAGAAGCAGGGCTCGGCGAAGCTGCCCTTGAAGAAGAAGAAGCAGGGCTCGGCGAAGCAGCTGCCCTCGAAGAAGAAGGATGGCTCGGCGAAGCTGCCCTCGAAAAAAGAGGGGACGACGAGGCTGGAGGGCTCGGGGAAACCGCCCCAGCGGACGACGACATTATTTAATAATGTCGTCGTCCGCGGTCCGCTTGAGCCAAGTCCTAATGATGATGATGATGATGATGATGATGATGATGATGATGATGATGACGATGGTGATGGCGATGCTGATGGTATGGATGGTGATGATGATACTGATGATGATGATGATGATGAGGATGATGATGATGATGGGGATGGTGATGATGGTATGGTGAGGGCGGTTGTGATGGTGATGATGGTGATGGTGATGATGGTGATTCTGGATGTGATGAGCACCACCATCATCACCATCACCATCGCCACCACCATCAGCACTACGATTTGATAGCCACCATCATTACAATCGTCGTCGGCATCAAAAACCATCAAAAAACATAAAAACACTCAACCGACTCAACCTATTTTCGCCTTAAATCAAGCCAGTTGCTCCGCCTCCTCATCCTCCTCCTCCTCCTCATCATCATCATCATCATCATCAGCATCATCATCATATATAATCAACTGCTTCATCATTATCATCCTCATCATCATCATCATCATCATCATCATCATCATCATAATCATCATCATCAGCATCAGCATCAGCATCAGCATCAGCATCATCATCATTATCGTCGTCATCAGCATCGTCATCATCATCATGGAGAGGGGGGGAGGAGACGGGAGAAGAGGGAGGAGGAGGCGGAGGAGGCGAACGAAGTGGACACGAAGGAGGAGGAGGAGGAGGAGGAGGAGGAGGAGGAGGAGGAGGAGGAAGGGCAGCAGCAGAAGAACGCGACAGGCAGTGCTCCTGCAGCCTGCCTGACGTCCACAGCAGGGGCAGCAGCGGCAGCCCACGGCGAGAGGGGCCGCAGCGCGCCCCACCGAGCGCGGCGCGGCGGCATCCTGCGTCCGCGTGGGCATCGACCGGAACGCCGCGTTCAGGCGCACCTCGCCCTCCCCACGTCGCCGACCCTCGCCGGCGCCGTCCTCGTCCTCGGCCTCGTCCTCCTCCCGAGGCTGACGCTCGCTGCTTGCTTCAGGGTCGTGTCCGTCCTCCTCCTCCTTCAGGCTTTCCTCCCCCTCATCTTCCCCCTTCTCGAACTCATCTCCTTCGTCCTCCTCCTCACCTTCCTCCTCCTCCTCATGCTCCTCCTCACCTTCGCCCTCCCCCTCCCCCTTCTACTCCCCTTCCGCACCGTCATCACCCTAAACGTCACTGTCGTCATCACCGTCATCACCACATTCGTGAAGTCGTCGTCATCGCCCTCAAAAATCAGTGCCGTCATAATCATGATCGCCATCATTACCATCATCATTAATGCCCATCCATCCGTAATTCCATCATCAACCTAAGCATCATCATCATCATCATCATCATCATCATCAGCAGCAGCAGCATCATCATCACCAGCATAATTAGCGGCAGCATCACCATAATCAGCAACATCATCACCACGACCAGCATCATCATCAGCAGCATCATGATCCTCATCACCAGCATCATCAGCATCACCGTCACCATCATCATTATACTCCTCCCCCTCCTCCTCCTCCTCCTCCTCCTCCTCATCATCATCATCATCATCATCATCATCAGCAGCAGCATCATCCTCATCATCAGCCTCATGCTCATGCCCCTCCTTCTCATCAGCATCATCATCATCACCGTCATCATCGGCATAATCAGCATCATCATCATCATCATCATCATCATCATCATCATCATCATCATCATCATCATCATCATCATCATCAACACCAGCAGCATCAACATCATCACCACCACCACCGCTACCACCGCCACCACCACCATCATCATCAGCATCATCAGCATCACCACCATAACCAACATCAGCATCAGCATCAGCATCATCAGCAGCATCAGCATCAGCATCAGCAATAATATCAGCATCACCATCATCAGCATCAACAGCACCATGATCATCATGCTCATCATGACCATCAACACATCACCATCATCCCCAACTTTAACATACACGTCATCGGCGTCTTTATCGCCGTCCTCTCATCCCGCCCCCCCGTCTCCTCCTCCCTCGTTCGCCCCTCCCCTCCTCGCCCGCAGGCGCCCGCCCGTCCTGCCTGGGCGACCGCCGGGCGCTCGCGGCCCGCTATCGTGCGGGGCTCCGCGACGCTGCCGGGCGGCGCCGCCGCATGGTCGCGGCGGATCCCTGCGGGTCCGCCCTGCACCCACCTGGCGTCCTGAGATGCTGCGCATGGCGCCGCGGCGCGGCGCGCAGAGCCGCGGGCCTGCCACCGCCTGCCGCGCCCTTTCTGGTGTCGCTCGCCCGCTGGGCTGCCGTGCTGGGCCAGGCGGGCGCGCCGGCGCCGCTTCTGCCGCCTGCCCCGCGGCTGGGCCCGAGCGTCCCCCCCCCCACTGTGCCGAAAGCGTGGGGCTCCGCCTGAGCGGTGGGGACCACCACGCTGGAGGTGGCCCCCCTGGTGGTGCTGGTGTCGCTTCCCATCGCTCCGATGCTCGGTCCTGCTTTGCCCTGGCCGCGCGAAGGCCCGCTCTGCAGAGGGGGGCCACCACCGGCCAGGGCAGGCCAACTGCCGCGCGCCACGCCTCCGTCGCATGCTCAGCGGGACGCGTTGGCAACGGCCAGGCGTGAGCGGCGGGCGTCGTGGTGCTCGACCTGAAGGGGGGTGGCGTGCTGGGTGCTCCGCTGGCGCAGCGGCCAGGCGACGCGGCCGCTGAAGGCACTGCGGGGGCGCGCGGCGCGCGCCTCGGTCGTGTTTCACGGGCTCGCTCAGCCGCTTCGAGTTCACGGTCAGGGGATCCTGGGGTGCTCAGGTCCACCACAGGCCCCCTGCTGACACGATGTTGCGCCGATGCTTGGGCTTTTCAAACCCAAAGGGCAGGGGGAGGAAAACTCTCATCATCATCATCATCATCATCATCATCATCAGCAGCAGCAACAGCAGCAGCAGCAGCATCATCATCATCATCATCATCATCATCATCATCATCATCATCATCAGCATCATCATCATCATCATCATCAGCATCATCAGCATCATCATTATCATCATCAGCAGCAGCATCAATATCACCATCATCATCATCACCATCAGCATCATCAGCAGCAGCATCATCATCAGCATCATCATCATCACCATCATCATCAGCATCAGCATCAGCATCAGCATCATCACCACCATCATCATCAGCATCAGCATCAGCATCATCAGCAGCATCATCATCAGCAGCAGCATCATAATCGTTATCGGAATCATCAACAGCAGCATCAGCATCATCATCACCACCACCATCATCATCATCATCATCATCACCACCATCATCATCAACATCATCAGCAGCATCAGCATCAGCATCAGCATCAGCATCAGCATCAGCATCATCAGCAGCAGCAGCATCATAATCATCATGATGATCATCATCATCATAAGCATCATCATACTCATCATCAGCATCATCATCGTCATCATCTGCATCATCAGCAGCATCATCATCTTTCATCATCAGCATCATCATCATTATCAGCAGCATCAGTAACATCATCAGCAGCATCAGCATGAGCATCATCATCAGCATCGGCATCAGCATCATCAGCATCGTCATCATCCTCATCATCAGCCTCCTCTCCATCATCATCATCATCATCACCATCATCATCATCACCATCATCATCACCATCATCATCATCATCAGCAGCAGCATCATCATCCTCATCCTCCTCTCCATCCTCATCTTCCTCTCCATCATCATCATCATCAGCAGCAGCATCAGCATCATCATCATCATCAGCATCATCATCATCATCATCATCATCATCATCATCATCATGATCATCATCATCGATATCATCTCCCTCCTCCTGACCCCTCCCCCAACCCGAACCCCCCCCTCTCTGCTCCTCCCCTTCTCCCCCCTCGTCTTCCACCCGAGGAGGAGCGTGAGCGCGAGTGCCCTTGGCTGTGCGTTGGACACAGTGGGCCAACCCCTCGGGACGGCGCTCTGGAACATACCTGCGCCCCAGCATTCCCGCGGCCCGAGCGCGAGGGATCGGCGGCGCGCAGAGCGAGGGGTGGGGCGAGGGCAGCAACGGCAACCGCAGCCCAGCGGTTATCATCGCGCTCGCGACAGAGCGAACAACCTTGAACGACCGCGAATCGCGGAAGATCGGCCGATCGCCGCCGCTTCGAAGCGACACGAGCGTGCCGAACACGCCTATGGTTCGGCAAGGCAAGGCGGTCTGCGTTCCAGCGCCGGTGCTCGAGCGGTCCCCTGGAGGGCAAACGAAGAATCTAGCACAGGTTCGGCCAAACGCAGCGTGGACAATCTCTTATTCAACCAAAGGCGACAGTTTGTGTAGAATGTGGGGGCGAGGGAGGAGGAGGAGGAGGATGAGGAAGAAGAAAAGGAGAGGGGAGGGGGTACACATTCACGGGCACCTGCCAAAAAAGTATATATCTCCCACTGGGCACCAGACGCAAAAAAAAGAGACATCGCAACAACTGGGGCGCCATGGGGCATCAGCCTGAGGCGTCACTGGGCATCTGCCAAAAAAAACACCGCCCACTGGGCACCAGACGAACCAAACAAAGAAACGAGGCATCGCAGCACCTGGGGCGCCGTGGGGCATCCGCCGCAAGACACCACCCACCAGGGCGCCCCAAGGCGGGGAGACGGTAATTACTGCTGCCACGACGGCAGCGTGGGGCCCTGTGGGCGCACGGCGCCGCCCACCGTGCATTGCGGCAAAGAGCAAGACGCTGCAGCCAGTCAGGCAGCGCAGGGCACCATCCTTGGAGCACGACCCATGGACACACCAAGGGCAAGGAGGAGGCATCGCCACCATGGAGGCCTCACAGGGCGCCAGCCAATTCAAAGAGCACCGCCCAGGAAGCACCAGGACAGAGACCAGAGACCGCAACAATGGAGGCACCATCGAGCACCAGCCACATAGCACAACCCATGGGGCACCAAGGTGTGTGAGAGAGAGAGAGAGAGACAAATATCGCATAAACATTCAAACATCAATGGGCACCAGCCGTGGAGTTTCACCCCTGAAGTACCAAGACAATAACGGATATCCACGAACCTTTCTCATTCCTTCGAAGCCATGTAGAGCGCCCCATAGAAATATCACTGCTCATAAGGCAAATGACGTCAAATCGGCCCAGGTTGTCATACGATTTGGCGCCAACACTCTTGGCCGTCTGACCACAGTCCGTTTATCTGGGCCTCGGCTCCATCCTGGGTGCTTGTTCGAGCCGCGTCCAGCCGTGGCGATGGGAAGCCACGACGACGACGACGACGACGACGACGACGACGACGACGACGACGACGACGGCGGCGGCGACGGCGGCGGAGGCGGCGGAGACAACGACGACGCCGACGACATTGACGGCGACCACAGCGTCAACGACGACGACGCCGACGACGATGGAAACTGGGAGCCCTCTGCGGATCCGCGGCGCCAGCCCACCCCAGCTCCCGCCCCGTCGAGGTAGATGAGGCTATCGTTGCACGCCTCCCGCCCCGCCAGCGTCTTGCTGGTCGGCCGCTCTCCAACGCGCGCGGAGGCTTCGGAGGGTTTCTGACAAGTACTCTTACATCGTCACTGGAGCTTTCCGAGGCTTGGAGGTTTCTGGAGGTTCGGAGGCTTCCAGAGGATTTCGGAAGTATGTGAGTCTTGACGTTTTCATTTTCGGGTGTTCTCGCGCCAGGCTGGTGTTGGGGTGATCAGCGAGCTGGGTGTGGCCATCCGATTGCACGCGCGTAAACACTGGGCACGAAGCACGCCTGGGCGAGAGAGTGCGTGGCTTCCCTGGTAGGTCGTCCTACTAGGCCTACCTAGACCTTCTGGTACGACTCGGCGGAGTCCCGCTAGTAGGGCCTAAATACGCTTGTTCGTACGACCCGGGGGTCCTACTAGTACGCCAAAGTTGGCCTACTTGTACGACCCGCGGGTGGAGGGAAGTCCCACTAGTAGGGCCCGGCTCGGAAAGGTTTTCTCCTAACGCCGCCACGCGCGCCCCTGCCGACCCACAGCGTGTTGGGAATTTCCACAACCATTTCGCCCATCGTTTCGTAGCGCAGTCGTGCCATACGTGGACCACAGTGGGTTACCACTGCTCAGTGCGATTGCTTCGCTTCTTTTTAAAACTCACCACGAACTGTGTTGATTACCCATTGAGTGTCGAAGAAAACGCAGCCCGGGATAATGGTGATGAGTTCTTCTTTGCAGCATGTCAGTTCGAATCACCACCACAAAGTGTGAAGACTTCTCAAACCGAACGGGGCCTTAACCAGTCCAAACCAGGGCCACACCAGGCAGCCTGTGAGGAGGTCTTAAGCAGAACCGGGCCCGAATCAGGCCAAACCAAAGCCAAACCATGCAACTCGTGAGGACTTTTCAAGAGGAACCGGGCCCAAACCAGGCAAAACCAGGGCCACACCAGGCGGCAACTTGTGAGGAGGTCTCAATCGGAACCAAGCACACACCAGCCCATGCCAGGGCCAAACCAGGCAACTTGTGGAAACGTCTCAGGCGGAACCTCGCCCAAACCATGCCAAACCAGGGGCCAAACAAGGCAGATGTTGAGGATGCTTCAGGCGGGGCGCGCGGTCAAACCAGGCCAAAGTAAGGCAAGCCAGGCCACACAAGGGGCCAAACCAGGTAGATCTTCAGGACGTCCTCAGCAGAATCGCCCAAACCAGGCTCCATCCACCCTCATCGACGAAATTGTAACTGATGGAATGGATCACCCCAGGGAGAGACGTTCGGGCCGCGCGTGCGCAGAAGCTTTCTTTGTATTTCGTGTGTTGTTGGGGCTTCAGTGTAGCTTTGGACAACTACTTCTGAGCCTGCAGTACTACCAGGGGTGTCGTACTATCACGCCCCCCAGAAAAGCCTACCAATTCGACCCGCGGGCGCAGGGAAGTCACGCTGGCAGGACCTAAGGACGCCTACTAGTACGACTGGGGTCGCACCAGCACGCAAAAATCCGCCGACCCTGTCGGCGTGTGCCGCCTGTCGGCGTGCGCTCAATCGACGCATCCGTTGTCCTCTTTCCCTGCGTCTCCGTCGTCTACTTTCCCTGCACTCTCCTCTTCAGGCCTGCCAGCGAGAGAAAACCGTAGCAACGTCGTACGTAAGTCGAAGGGAAGCCCCTTCCCTTTGATCCCTCCCCCGCCGAAGGGGGGGGGTCCCGGAGGGGGTCCTGGGGGGGGGGTAGTCAGATGCGCATCCGCCCCTGGGCGTCCTGGAGGCCAAAAAAGCGCCAAGACGCGCCAAGAGTGCCCTAAGACGCCCCCAAGAAGGTCCAAGAGTGCCCCGAATCGCCGAACGATCTGTCCAAGACGCCTTCACGGCTTCCAGACGGGTCAAGAGGCGTGCAAGACGCCCCCAGAAGCATCCAGGATCACTCCCAAGACGGCCCCCATGAGATCCCCAAGAGGCCCAACAGAGGCCACAACCGGCCCGAAAACATCCAAGAGGCTTTTCAACCACAACCCCAGCAGGATGGCGGGAAGGACCGCAGGCCACAAGGCTCCCTGTCTGTCTCTGCCACGACTCCCTCGGCCCACATGGGGAACATCTCCTTCGCCTTCTCCTGCTCCCTTCCACCTTAGTCCCCCTCCTCCTTCTCCTCCTCCTCCTCGTATTCGTCGTCGTCGTCGTCTTCAGGGTCGGCGGCACCGGTCGCAAGGCAGAAGCAATATCCGGGCGAAAGACCCAACCATATGCAGTTGAGAGCACCGCGTTGTGGCACCGCTTTCGGTGGAGCTCCCTATGGGGCCACGAAGCGTGTGAGGAGTGCGCCGACATAGGCGGGGAGCCGCATGCGAGTCGTGCCACTGAGTCACGCGGTGGAGCTCCCTATGGGCCACGAAGCGTGTGAGGAGTGTGCCGACATGGGCGGGGAGCCGCATGCAAACTGTGCCGCTGGAGCCTTCGGTTGAGCTCCTCATGGCGCCACGAAGCGAGTGAGGGATGTACCGACATGGACGGGGAACTGCACGCGAACTTTGCCACTGGGGCCTTCGGTGGAGCTCCCTTACGAGGCCACGAAGCGTGTGAGGGGTGTGCCGAAATGGACGGGGAACCGCCTGCGAATCCTACCACTGCCGCCTTCGGAGGGGCTCTCTATGGGGCCTCGAACAGTGTGAGGGACGTGCCGACATGGACATGCGGTGGGCAGGGAGCCGCATGCAAACTTTGCCACTGGGGCATTCGGTGGAGCCCCCTGATGGGGCCACGAAACGTGTAACGGGGGTGTCGAAATGGACACCCGATGACATTTTGCCACTGGGGCCGTCCCTATGTGGCTACAAAACGCGCGAGGGGTGTGCCGAAGTGGACATGCGGCAGGCAGGGAGGCACATGCAAATGTTGCAACCAAGGCCTTCGCTGGAGCTCCTTATGGGGCCACGAAACATGTGCGCGGGAGCCGCATGCAAACTCTGCAACCGGAGCCTTCGGTGGAGCTCTCTATGGGGCCACGAACCGTGTGAGGGGCGTGCCGAAATGGACGTGCGGTGGGCGCGGAGCCGCATGCAAACTTTGCCACTGGCTCCTTCGGAGGAGCTACCTATGGGGCCACGAAACAACGAGTGAGGGGTGTGCCGTAATGGTTAACATGCGGAGGGCAGAAGCAAGGCTGGGAGGAGGAAGGAGGGAAGTGGAGGGGGAGGAGGAGGAGGAGGAGGAGAAGGAGGAGGAGGAGAAGGAGGAAGAGCAGCAGGAGGAGGGGCGAGGAGGGAGTGAGACGCGGGGCGCTCTCTTCAAAACGAGGACCGAACGCAGGAGGATGGTTGGGAAAAAAACACTACTACGACCCGCGGGCGGAAAGAAGTCTTACTAATAGGACCTAAGTACGCTCATTGGTACAACCGGGGGTTCGTACTAGTAGGCGCAAGTTGCCCTCGTACTATTATGCGCCCCGGCTAGGCCCCTTGGGGGGTCGTACCAATCTGTACCAGTACGCCAAAGTAGCCCTACTAGCCCCCGCCGGGGCGAAATTGCAAGGATGTCTCAACAAGGGACTCTCTCCGCTGGTCGTACCAGCAGGCCTGAGCCGCCCTGATTACTAGTAGCCCCCCACCCACCCCCCAGCATCCCGGGGCTGCACCAGTACACCACAGAAGCCCTACTGGCAGCCCCCCGCGGGGGCGGCATTGCGAGGATGTCTCGAGCGGTGAGCCTTGCCGCCGGTCGGGGTGGTGCCACGCCTGAATGGCCCCACTGATGCGCCCTTGCTCGGCCCTCGGGCCCGCATTGGTGCGCCAAGGTATCCCTACGAGTGGCCCCCCCTTAGAGCCAGAATTGTGAGGATGTTTCAAGCTGAGGCCCTCTCCGCCGATCGTACTAGTATTAGGTCGGGCATGTCCTCCTACGGGCGGGTTTTAGTCAAAACATAAATCAAAAAATCAATCATCAAGAATAATAGATTTGTTCCCCAGACTATTTGTTGACTGTTTTAAATGTTCCTCCCTAGAGGGGAAGGCCCGACTGAAGACTAGTAGGCCCAAGTAGCCCAAAAATGGTACGCCAGCCCACCCCCCAGCATCCAGGGAGCATACTAGTACAGCTACAGTCAACCCGTCGAATGATACCGGAGAAAAGCCCCAATCAAAGTCTTTTTAGGGCTATAGGGCTATGGGGCTATTGGGCTATGGGGCTATAGGGCTATGGAACTATAGGGCCATAGGGCCATAGGGCTACATAGGTCTACAGGGCTATAGGGCTATAGGGCCATAGGGCTACAGGGCTGTGGGGCTATAGGGCTATGGGGCTATTGGGCTATGGGGCTCTGGGGCTATGGGGCTGTAGGGCTATCGGACGGTGGGACGACGAAATGTTGCAAGTTGCTCCTGGCCGCGCACGGCCGCGCCGACATTGCGACGCCACCTCGACAAAACGCCCCCGCCCCCTAAATTTCAATGTTGGCATCGGGCGAGAACCCCAAGTCCGGGAGGACAGAATAATGCAAGTCAACATTGAAATACGGGGGAAGGGGAGCTCCTCGGATATCGATGGAATATGATCAAAATTGTCATCTTGTTTCTCGGAACGATCATATAACTTGCGATATTTTGTCCGCCCACTGCGTTTGTCATCCCCCTGCAGGGTGAAGGCTGACGCGGAGGGCGGGGGACTCGGAGAACTGGGGGAAGGATGATGGCGAGGATGATCAAGGGTACAGGGTCGACGTTCGGTCGAAGGTCGACTGCCGAGCTTCGAACAGGGTGCGAGCCGGAGCCGGGCCGAGCCGCCACTGGACCGAAGGGTTCACGCCTCGCTGATGTCTGAGCTGGACCCAGCTGGTTCGAGTTGGGCTGACCTGGGCGCACCTGCGCAGGGCTGACCTGGACGGGACTGCAATATATTGAGCTCGGGTGGATTGGGCCGCGCAGACCTGAGCTGGGCTGCGCTGGGCTGCCTCCGCTGCGCAAGCAAAACAGAACAATATATTGGGCTTCGCCTTCGCCCGGCGAGCAGCGCCGAGCCCGCGTCGCGCCTGGCCC